AAAAAAAAAACGTCTTTGAAAAAAAAAACTTTTTTCCGAGGGTTCGCGGCCTTTCCAGGAATGGAGCCTATGGTTCCTGAGTGGGTGGGCCATGGGCCAAAATAAAAACCTGTAAAAAACAAAGAAATAGAAAAACCCGTAGCCTTAGGGCAGGGGCCAAAAAAAAAAACTGGAGAGATTTCGAAGCCAAACAAGCAAGCAGCGTAAGTAGGGAACAGGTTCACATTGTGCTGTTATTACCCCGCAGCAAGGCTTGGGCCAAATAAGAATGTGAAATCTTGAGAAGGAGAGGAAGAAGTAAGACTGAGAGAGAAGAGAGAATAAGCAAAAATACCCGAGGAGGAACATGGAAACATCCAAGAGTTGATTCCAATGTACAAAAACAAAAAAACGGCATTGAGTCTTTACCACATGTTTCATTCATAGAGTCATTTCCAGAGTAGGAGGTTATATTGTTTTTTTCTGGTAAGCGTTAACTGTTGAGTTACACAAAATTAGGAAGTTAACTATGACCACAGCACTTTTAAACAACCCAAACACCCAAAACACAACAAAAACAGAAAATATAAAGAGGAACTGAACATTGAAGTTGAACTCCTGAGCTAATGGCCTAAAAAGCACAATACATAAGAGCAACAAAAAATGAAAAGATTCTTTTAGGGGGGAAAGAAGGTTGGGAAGCGTTTATTTCCAATTTCTGCTTCTTCTCCTCCTCGGTGTTTTGGAAGAAAGATGGAAACTGGCTTCACAGGTTTCTCCAATTCTCTATTAATTTTTGTGCCTCAATGTTTTTATTTCAATTTAAGGCCAATAGGCAGGAGGTCACTAATGTCCAAGTGTAATCCACTTTTAAAATTTCCAAATTGTGTGTGGTGTAACAAAGGGTGCAATTGATGTATAGTAACTTCCTATAGTAACACAACAGTACGCAACATGAATATAAAAAAACACCTCTACTCAAAAATAAAACTTTCATGAACGTTGACAAGTTAGTAAAAGGAATATCAAGGCCAGTTGTAATAAGAACACGGAATCAAACGTGTGATGGTTTCATGTCATTTTCTCTCCGTATCCCTGTACCTCCTCTTCTTCCTCACGTATTCCCTCCCTACAGTTCACATCATATTCCCAGGGCACTAACAACCCCCGGTAAGCTCCAAAACAGGCATTAAAGAAACATGTAACCATACTTACGTGCTTGCTCCACGATTTCTTCTCAGGCAGCTGAAAGCACGTATTCTAGACAGGAATGTAGCAGCACACTCAGACAGCTTCAAATCCAATACAAGGCCACTGAACTGGAGTTCAAAAAAAAAAACCATTCAGAAAAAAACAGCGAAGGAACTGAAAGATTCAGCAGTGATGAAACTACTAAGGGCCCAATATGACCATTATTTAGTCTAATAAGGCCTCATGGTTCATGGAGAGCCAGAATCAAGCAGGAGGCATGCTTAACAGATAAGCAACAAACCACCTGAGTAGGGCAGGACAGAACAACCGGCTCAGACCTTGGAGCCATTTTTAAAGCTCAAAGTTAAACTCAGTAAGACTTTAATAAAACACTTGTTTCATTTTGAATTGCACGGCTGCTCAAGGAGCGGTTTCGTCCAACTAATCATGTGTTGTGATCCTGCTCTGCCAACCTGTTCGAGAGGTATCCTGAGGCAAGATAAAGATCAAATTGCCGATGGCTGCAACAGTGAGAGTGTGGGTTGTAGGCTTGGATAGTGATTAGCGTCAGTCAAAGCCTTCTGTAATAACCTCGAAGAAGGTTTCCTCTTCTGGCTTGAATTGGTTGTTTTGTAAGCCCCGTGATTCAACTAATTTGGCCATAGAGCAAACTAGTTTGGAGCCAAAAGAACCTGATTTCCAAACAATCAGTAATCTGGTTATGGCATTAACTGTCGGGATTGAAAAGCAATTGACATTAAATAATACCTACTGCAGCTTAGGATACGATTAGAGGTGATTCATTCATAAAGAGATACGTTAGCCAATAAACACTGGGTTTCCAAACTGAACCACCAAGTCATTCTGCCATAAACGCAAATCAAGGAGCTCATAGGGGCCATTGCAAATGAACCAATCTCTTTTGTCAAATAAGATCCTTTTTTTCATTATGACGACTTGCTGCGTAAGGTATGTTCCATTGGCAATGAAGCCAAATACTCTGAATCTACAACTTCAGATGATCACTTAGCAGGAAACGAGTCAATTGACTTCTGATTAATCTACTGCAATTTAACAGATTAGCTGACTGAATGAAGGTAATTGTTTGAAATTGCACACAAACCAAACTGTCTTTTCTTTGTTTCATGCAACAGGAGGAACAATCTTCCCCTGCTGTCTGCTCAAAACGAGCTATGTCAGGGTGCGCATTGAGACCACATTGCATGCAGCTTCAGCAGAGCAGTCAGCCATGTGTGATGACAAGCACAAAAAACAAAATAAAAAGCTGGCTGGGAGAACAGTGCTGACAGCTAGAGCACGGTGCTACAGTATAATGGTCAATATTCATGAATATGCTTGCGTTTTCACTGGTCATGCCTGCGGTTTTACTGGTCATAGCTTAATCGTAAACCCAGGCTCTCTCCCAGTTCATCAAGTACTGGGCCGCCTTGATTCAGTGGCCCATTTCAAAAATATGGAATGGAATGGTAATGACTTACTGTATAGCGCTTTTCTAGTCTTCCGACCACTCCAAACCCTTCACCCTTCACACACATTCACTCAACGTCATGCAAAGTCCATCGAACAAGAAACTTAACTCATTCATACACATCCACACACCGATGCTATGCATCGGGACAATTGGGTCAAGTATCTGCTCAAGGATACTTCGAACGGAGGAGCCGCGGATCAACCAACAAACCTTCTGATTGGGGACGACCCCACTCTGCCTCTGCCACAGCCGCCCCCTGTATGACACTGTAGGTACCCCTTTTCTGTCATTTGTTGGACAGCAGGGCTCCCGCCTTAGGCGTCATTTTATGGACGTGCCCACCAGAACATAGAATAAAGAGCCAAAAGTCACATAGGAGGAGTGTGGTGGATGTACGCTCAAACCAAACGCAGACTTTCACCCAGGTTTGTTTTGTGTCCCATTCCCAAGCAAAATCAAAGTTGACCTCTTTAATTGTTGATATATATGAGATTCAAAAACATTTTAATATAGCAGTACAACTCGTTATCTATGTAAAGATATATTGGATGTCATGGTGTCACACTTCCCTGCAAATGGTAAATGACTGTACGTTGCATAGCGCCTTTCTAGCTTTCGACCAACTCAATGCGCTGCACACTACATTCCACACTAAAGGGCCATCACACACAGATAGCACACTGCTCACCAGAACGGAACTAAACATTCCTACACATTCATACACCAATGCACAGCATTGGAAGCAAATTTGGGGTTCAGTGTCTGCTCAGGGACACTTCGACCATGCAGCGGGAGGGAGCGGGATCAAACCGCGCTTCTAATAGTTGACACCAAGTCACCTCTGAGCTACAGCCGCCACAAGCCGCCCAGCCGCAGAGTGTAACAGCCTCTCTGTGGTTGTGTTTACATTATTCTGGCTGCCCATGTGCATGCTGAGTAGAGCGACTGAACTTGCTGTTTTAACATTCTACGTCAGTGAATGAAGGTTTATTTAAATTGCAAATTTCTTTTCGCCACTTTGAAATGAAGTTACAAGTATTAATTATGAAAATGATATGCAATGTAAAATTTGTTTTTTTGTCTATAGAGTCGCAAGCGATGGGCAATATACAGCTGTTTCTTAAACAAATCCTGTAATGGAAAAAAGTGGACGTACTTTGATGGTGTATTTATCCTCAAGGGATTGTTTGCTGTTTGCCTGTTTCCCAAATATTTTTAAACTCTATGAACAAAGGATTTATATTGACCAAACCAGTGATGATATTGTTGACTGTGGAAGACTTAACAAAGTTATTTTGGCCTTTTTATGTCTTTTATTAGAAGTGACA